GCTGTGCAGAAGCTTTTTATCTTCATAAGGTCCCAGTAATTCACTTTTGCTTTTAATTCCCTTGCCTTTGGGGATGTGTCGAGTAAGAGATTGCTACGGCTGAGGTCAGAGAGGTCTTTTCCTGCTTTCTCCTCTAATGTTTTGATGGTTTCCTGTCTCACATTCAGGTCCTTTATCCATTTTGAGTTTATTTTTGTGAATGGTGTGAGAAAGTGGTCTAGTTTCAACCTTCTGCATGTTGCTGTCCAGTTCTCCCAGCACCATTTGTTAAAGAGACTGTCTTTTTTCCATTGGATGTTCTTTCCTGCTTTGTCAAAGATGAGTTGGCCGTACGTTTGTGGGTCTAGTTCTGGGGTTTCTATTCTATTCCATTGGTCTATGTGTCTGTTTTTGTGCCAATAAATTAATTTTTGTATATGGTGTGAGGTAGGAGTCAAGGTTAATGTTTTTTTTTTCTATGCATTTATCCAGTCTTCCCATACCATTTGTTGAGAAGAATTCCCTTCCCCATTGAACTGCTTTGGTACCATTGTTGAAAATCAGTTGAAGTGGGTATAAACTAGGTATAAAATTGAATTGGGTATAAATCTATTTGAACTCTTTTCTGTTATTTTGACCCATTTGTCTATAATTATGCCAATATCATAATTCTTGATTATTGTAGCTCTATGTAAAGTTTTGAATCAAGTGGTGCAACTTTATTCTTCATTTTCAAGATTCTTTTTCATTATTTTAGGTCCTTTGCATTTTCTTAGAAAGTTGAGAATCCTGCATTTTCTTATAAAGTTTAGAATCCAGAGGTTAATACTACTCACCTACCCTCCAAAAAAGCCCATTAAAGATTTTTGTTGGAACTGCATTTAACTTATAAATCAATTTTAGGGAGAATTTAAATCATAACAGTGTTGAATCTTTTAATCTATGTGTATCTCCATTTATTTAAATCCCCCTTAATTTCTCTCAGCAATGTTTTATAAAGGTCATACATACATTTTGCTAAAGTTATTTCTAAATATTTGAAAATATTGATACTATTAAAAATGGTAGTGTTTTATTAATTTCATTCTTCAAATATTTTCTGTGAATATAGAAATATAATTGATTTTTGTATTTTGACCTTACATTATATAACCTTCTATCAGTATTTTTAAAAGTTCCTCATTAGATTCCAATGTGTAGACAAGTTTGAGGCCCATTTTTCTATATAACTAGGTTCTGAGCCTGCCTGCATATTAGAATTACCTGGGAGAAGTAAAAAATATATATATTTATGACTGGCTCACCCCAGGAATTCTAATTTCATGGTTTGGGCTGGGGCTTGACATTAGAATTTTTTAAATTTCCCCAGGTGATTTTAATGTAAGCTAAGGTTGAAAAACACCGCTCTACAGGCTTGCAAAAGTTTCTTTCTAAACCTCATTCCCCCATTTTACAAACCAACATCCAAATTCCTTGGAATGGCATATACACTAGAAACTTTATATCAACTTTGTTGCAGACTATGAGTCTGGAGTTCTCTCTTGTTCAGCAAGAGAGCGGATGCAAAATTGAATATGAGGGAGGCTAATGTCCAGGAGGAGACAAGAGCCCCAAATAGGGGTTTTATCTCTGTATTTATTGAGCTCACAAGATATTACCCATGTGAGGAATGTGAAGAAAACAAGATCTTACACATGTGATGAACGTGGAGAAAACAATCAGACAGTAATCATTAACTTGTGTGTGTAAGAAGCAAAGGGTCTGGGGGGCAAGTGGAGTTTGTGATTAAGGTACATTGGTACCAGATGGAAAGTAATTTCCTGCAGGTGATATAACAAGTTACTAGTGCTCCCATTACAGTATCTCGATAGCTAACTTTGGGTGCTTTTTGCCTCATGGTGGCAGCTTTCTGCCCTAAGCTTTTTTCTAACCCATTTATGTAAGTAGAACCCATTACCCCACATAACCTATCCACATTTAAGGAATACTGCTTCACCCTTTTGTACTATATGTCTTTGTCTATTCATCATAGTTGATTTCACCAATGAGCTATGATTTCTGTGGCATCAGATTTGAAAGCTAAGCTTAAAATAATCATCATCCTTTCTTAGAATTTAAATTTGAGAAATTAAGAGGCTCAGGCAATTGGCAAAGAAATTAGAAAACAAGAAGATGTATCAAGAGTTACCATGATATATAGGCAGCAGGAATAGTCGTGATGGGCTATTGGCAAGCCTAAATGCAAACATTCTGAATAAACAAGAGAAAGCAATCCGTAAAGAGGAAGGCCCAGATCAAATGTCATCTCTTTGTACCTTTCTCTAACTTCCTTCCTGAAAGAAATAATACTCTGATATGGATGTTCTCATGATATTATTTTAGTACTTATCACATTGTGTTTTAGTTTTTTGTTTATGTCTCCTTTGCTAGGCTGTGAGCTTTCCAAATTAAGGACCAAGTCTCAAAAGTGGTTTTATCCCTAACAAAAGTGTTCACTAGGGGTGGGGTACCTGGATGGCTCAGTTGGTAGAGCATGCAACTCTTGATCTTGGGGTTGTGAGTTCAAGTCCCATGTTGGGTGTAAAGATTACTTAGAAATAAAGTCTTCAAAAAAAGAAAAAGTTCCTTACTAAACACTGAATCAAATTTAATTGTGTAGCTGTTATACATTATGACTTCTGAAAATCAAATAGTAAATAATAGTAATGAATAATTTATTTTTTCCTAGGCTTTTGAATTTTAGTATAAAACTTGTGCCTCGTGGCATACGTCATCCAGTCTCTACTGAAATTTTTCCTACTCTATCCAGGAATAAGTATGGAACTGGAGCAGTTAGTATTCAAGCTGGCAGTGCTTTGCTAGCTAAAGGTGGTATCTGCTTTATAGGAGACTTGGCTTCACACAAAAAAGATAAACTAGAACAGCTTCAATCAGGTAAACAATATTTTTTTTGAATTAATTTTCACCTGTTTAACTTTTTAAAAAATTTTTGTTGATGAATTGGCCTTTTTTTTTTTTTAAATTTACTTCCAAATTAGTTAGCATATAGTGCAACAATGATTTCAGGAGTAGATTCCTTAATCCCTTACCCATTTAGCCCATCCCCCCCTCCCAAAACCCCTCCAGTAACCCTCTGTTTGTTCTCCATATTTATGAGTCTCTTCTGTTTTGTCCCCCTCCCTGTTTTTATATTATTTTTGTTTCCCTTCCCTTATGTTCATCTGTTTTGTCTCTTAAAGTCCTCATATGAGTGAAGTCGTACGATTTTTGTCTTTCTCTAATTTCACTTAGCATAACACCATCCAGTTCCATCCACATAGTTGCAAATGGCAAGATTTCATTCTTTTTGATTGCCGAGTATATATACCATATCTTCTTTATCCATTCATCCATCGATGGACATTTGGGCTCTTTCCATCCTTTGGCTATTGTTCATAGTGCTGCTATAAACATTGGGGTGCATGTGTCCCTTTGAAACAGCATACCTGGGACCTGGGTGGCTCAGTCGGTTAAGTGGCCGACTTCGGCTCAGGTCATGATCTCGCGGTCCGTGAGTTCCAGCCCCGCATCGGGCTCTGTGCTGACAGCTCGGAGCCTGGAGCCTGTTTCAGATTCTGTGTCTCCCTCTCTCTGACCCTCCCCTGTTCATGCTCTGTCTCTCTCTGTCTCAAAAATAAATAAACGTTAAAAAAAAAAAATTTAAGAAACAGCATACCTGTATCCCTTGGATAAATACCTAGTAGTGCAATTGCTGGGTCCTTCGGTAGTTCTATTTTTAGTTTTTTGAGAAACCTCCATACTGTTTTCCAGAGGGGCTGTACCAGCTTGCATTCCATCACCTGTTTAACTTATAGTCTCATCAGTGTCAAGGAATTACTTAACAGTTAAGATCATATTGTACACATTTTAGGAACTGAGAAATTATATTAAATGGCACTTCTCATTTTACCTGTATTAATAAAGAAAGGAATTTAATATGAAAATGCACTGTTTCAATTTTTCTCTCAGTTGTCCTAACATGTGAATTTGTATTGGGCGAGATTTCTTTTCTTGTCTTGTCTTAGTGTATTAAGTAGGACTTCAGCTCTGATGCTGAAAAACAGTGGTGAAAGGAGACATCCTTGACTTGTTTCTGATCTCAGCAGGAAAGCTTTGAGTTTTGTTACCATTAAATATGAAGTTAGCTGTAGGTTTTTTGTAGATGTTCTTTTTCAAGTTGAAGGAGTTCCCCTCTATGGTGAAATACACATAACATAAAATGTACCATTTTAACCATTTTTAAGTGTACAATTCAGTGGCATTAAGTACATTCACAATGTTATGTAATTAATACCACTCTCCATTTCCAGAACTTTTCATAATCCCTAACAGAAACTCTGTACCCATTGAACAATAACCCTATTCCCCTGTACCTCCAGCCAATGGTAACCTCTGTTCTACTTTCTGTCTTTATGAATTTGTCTATTTAAGAATCTCTTTTCTTCTTATTGCTGAATCATATCCCATTTTATGTATATACCACTTTTTAAAAAAATTCATTCATTAGTTGAGAGAAACTTAGGTGGTTTCTGCCTTTTGGCTATTGTGAATAATGTTGCTGTGAACATGAGTCCAAGTATCTGTTTGAGTCCCTACTTTCACCTCTTGCGTGTATACTTAAAAGTGGAATTGCTGGGTCATAAGGTAATTCTATGTTTGGCTTTATGAGAAATCACCAAACTGTTTTCCACAGTGGCTGTGCAATTTTATATTCTTACGAGTAAAGCATAATGGTTCTAAATTCTCCACATCAGTCCTATTACATTTCATAAGTAATAAAATATTTTTAAAGGAAAAAGCTTTTTATATTAGTACTCTTAATTAGTACTTTGATTAAGGAGCCCAGATTTTTAGTTTACACTAGGCCCCACATATTAAGTAACTGGCCCTGGGGGTGCCTGGGTGGCTCAGTCAGTTAAGTGTCCGATTTCAGCCCAGGGCATGATCTCATGGTTTGTGAGTTCAAGCCCCGCTTCAGGCTCTGTGCTGACAGCTCAGAGCCTGGAGCCTGCTTCAGATTCTGTGTCTCCCTCTCTCTCTGCCTCTCCCCTGCTCACGCTCTTTCTCCCTCTATCTCAACTTTGGATAATAAAACATTAAAAAAAAAATTAAGTAACTGGCCCTGGCTACTAGAATGGCAAAAATTAAAAAGACTGAAAACAGATGTTACCAAGGATATGGAACAACTGGAATTCTTATATACTGTATGTGAAAGTATAACATAGTGCAACCATTTTGAAAACTGCTCTGGCAGTTTCTATAGTGTTAAATATGTATTTACCTTATGACCCAAGAGAAAGATAAATATAAAGAAAAGACTCTCTTATCATGAATAAAGAGAAGTTTAATTTGAGAAATATTTGGAATATGGAATCCTAGGATTGAATCCATAGGTTTAATGGTTATAAGGGATGAAGGAAAGATAAAAAGGAAACTATGTTGTTTCTAGATTTTTTTTGTTTGTTTGGGTTTTAAGTAGTTGGATAGTGATTCCTCTAATTGCAAATAATGCACACAGAGCCATTTGAGAAGGAAAAATGATGAATTTGGTTTTTAGCATGTTGAATTTGAGATATATTTTCGCCTAGTCATTGTAGTTTATATTCTCTATCAATCTTATTCTCTTTCACTCTCATATAGATATCCTTTTTTTTCCACATAAAAGAATATTGCTTAATTTCAGCCCCCTTTATAAGCCTGCACTAATATAACCAGTGTCTTAACCCTCTGCCTATACTACCCAGACACTGACCATAATTCTAGCTACATGCTTTGGACTGCTGTTCTCATCAAGTCATGGGACACATAAACTTTCAAATATTTTTCTTGCCTTGTTTTTTTTAAAAGTCTAATAAATGTTTACTTATTTATTTTGAGAGAGAGAGATAGAGAGCAAGCAGGAGAGAGGCAGAGAGAGAGAAAGACAGAGAATCCCAAGCAGGTTTTGTACTGCCAGTACAGAGCCCGACCATGGGGCTCAAACACACGAACCATGAGACCATGTATGACCTGAGCCAAAATCAAGAGTCAAATGCTTAACCGACTGAGGCACCCCTCTTGCCTTATTCTTTTTATTAGATCCTCCAATTAAGCCATATCTTATAAAACAACCAAATTTACTTGTGTCTTTACTGTCCCACATTTAGACAGTAAAATTCTATATAATAGTATTTCTTATTAAAAATAATATTTGTTAGTTATTTATAGACATATAGACCAAAATAAACTTAAATAACAAATGGGCAATGTCTTTTTACTTAGTTGTGGAAAGCAGAAGCATCACAGTATACATCCCAGGAAAGAAGTTTGGGGATGATATTAATCAACAAATGACTTTTCCAGTTCAGTGCAGTTTTTGGTCTTTTGTTGATATGGATTCATCTTCAAGGAGAAATATGCAGAAAACCAACACTCTCATTGGTCGGATGGTAAGATATATGTATTTTTTATTTTTAGAATGTTGTTTATGGAATTTAATCACAGATTTTAATCTTAATGTTTTTGTTGTTCTTAATGTTTTGTTATTAACCCATTTCTATCCTTAATCAGGTACTAGAACTAAATAACAGTGCAATTGTCTGAAAATTTTCATTTTTTTTAGTCATGCAAAGCAGGTGTCTGTTTACTAGAAATTATTATTTGAATAGGCAGTAGAGTAGGCTTTAGTGAATAATGTGTAAGAAATTAATAAAGACATTAAAAATTGGTCATAGTAAGTTCCCATGCTATTCAGGAAACACTTTAAATAATAATTAATAATGTCAAACAATGAAGTAAAAATAATAGGTATATAACATAATATACATATATTAATAATATAAATAATTATAAACAGTATTTAATTTATAATTATCTAAAGTGTTTGTGGAAATGCCAGAGTTTTATGTTTGCCTTTTACATTTTTATTTGATGTAGGATTGCAGTTTGATTCCAGCTAATCTTGTAGAGGCGTTTGGATTATTGATTAACTGCAATGAATCATCTTCTTGCTACCCACTTATTTCTACTGTGCAACACACTTTAAAGAAAGCCATCGATCCTGAAGAGCTCGTTTATGTAGCTTCTAAGAAGTTCACAACTGAAGATTTTGAAAAGGTAGAGGTAGAAGAAATGATTACCAAGAATACATGTGCTAAGGTTTCTCAATTTAAATAGAACTCACTTTCAGCATCCAATTTTATTTATTTAGAATTATTTTATTCCAAGTCCCTTTCGGCTTTTAAATATTTTAAGGACATTGCATAGAAAATATTTAGGATTATAATTAGATTAAAAACTGTGTAAAGACATAAATATTAAAATGTTAATTGTTTGCACCACTATCCACATGGCTTTAAAACTTCTCAATAAAAAGAAAACCAATAGAATAATTCTATAGAAAATTATGATGAGAGGCTGTATAGGTATACAGTTACTTACATTTTACAGACTATTAAAAAGGATTTACTTTATGTAAATGCCTTCAGAGTTCTGACTTTAGAGAATACCTGTCATGACTCACTAACCCATTTCAATGTCCTGACATGGAAATGTGCAGCATGTTCAGAGAACCTGAGAGTAGATGATGTAAATTCAGTAATGATTTTTACAGCTATTAAAGGTATACAAGTATTTACAGGTGAAGCCTTTTTAATATTAACTATTCAGAAATCTGTCCACACTAGAGTTAAAGTATCTGGGTAGGATAGGTAAAAGGCAGGGAATATTGGGAGTGGGAATCTATGAGTCATTAACAATTTTGTTCATACCTGCCTTCTTTGTAGGCAGATTGCATGGGTAAAAGGTTGAAAAGTGAGGTGGACTTAAAACTGAATTATGAACATTGTTTATTGACATAGAATAGAAAAAGAACAATATTTATGATAAAGTAGCTCTTTTTGTTTGTTTTAGTATATAAGAAAAAAGTCGTAGTCTCTAGGAATTAGGATACTATATCTATATCTATACCTATATCTATATCTATATCTATATCTATATATCTATATCTATATCTATATCTATATCTATATCTATATCTACATATATTAATGACCCAGAGAAATTTTTGCCCAGTTTTTCCCTGAAAAACAACAACAACAACAAACCCTTGGAATTTATTAATTAGGTATTTACTGAATATTTTATATATATTAACCTATTTCACTCTTTTATATTCTCACAAAAAAATAAAATTTCTTCTTTAAATAGTTTATCATTTAATTGATAAATAGTTTATCATTTTAATAGTTTATCATTTGTTTATCATATAAACAAAATATATGAAACCATTAAGGGACAATTTAAGTGCTAAGCTGGGTGGTGCTAACTATAAGTACTTTAGGAATTCAGGAAGGAAGATATCAAGTAGAATGCAAGAATTGGGAAGACTTCAAGGAGGTGAGACTTTAGTCCTTAAGGAAAGGTATGATTTAAATGACAGGAAGGATGGGCATTCTAAACAGAATTAAAAGTAGGAGCAAAGATATAAAAGTAGAAATGAATATACATGGAAAACTATGCGAAGACATAACTGACTGGAGCAAAAATTTTATTGTAGAGTCATTGGGATTAATATTTGGCAAATTTACAATAAGCCTTGAAGCTCCGGCCAAAGATTTTATAGCTGATTCATCAGAATATAGAGAACAGTTGGACTTTACTAGGCTTGTGAAACACTGAAAATGATTTCTCCAGAAGATAAAACTGTCCATTACACAAAACAGATTGGATGGAGTGTGTCACTGTCTGGGCTCTCCAAGAGGCTGACTGAGAGTTTAGTGTGCCATTGTTTATTAGGGAGTGCTCCTCTAGCTCTTCTATCAATACCTGTGGAAGGGAAGAGGAGCAGGATTGGGCTGAGGAGGTAGTCAAGCTGCTGACGCAGGCCCAAAGATAGCCCCACAATGAGCTCTGGACTTAAAAGAGACCCACCAGAATTGTCCTGCTTTGGATAGAAACAGAAGGACTTTTTTACAATACCCGCCCCCACTTCCGCTGCAGTCAGTCATTTGATATGGGCTGTCCTGAGGCATTCCCTGAAGAAGTTGACGACTGGACACCAATGCTGACAGCAGTTCCAGTAGCTGGGGCAAGTCCTTTCCTGAGGACAGAGATAGGTGGCACATTACTGTGACTCCATATGGTAGAACCTAGAGAAGGCTACTGATATTATTAATGGTATTAATTTCCAATTGTGAAGGTCTGGAGGGAACTGTGGAGTGTAAGGAGAATAGAGAAGAGAAGATATATACAGATCCTTTAAAAAGTTATATTTAAAATATAATATAGTTAATAGCAACCTTATGATTAAATTTTCCTTTTGATTCTGAGTTGAAAAAAGCAGAAAACAACCAAGATGTTGAAAAGTCTGGAAATGATGTCCCTGAATTAAGGATTTAAGGGACTGAGAATCACTCAGAAAGAATAAAAGCACGAAGTTCAGAAAAAATAGTGCTAATCATTATGTTGAAGGCTTATTGGAATCTCCAAGGCCTACCTTCATAGTAGTTAACACAGTGCCTTCCATATTGCTAGTGATCACTTGTGTTTAAAAGGAAGGAAAAGGAGAACAAGTAGCTCTAAGGCCCATGAGAGAAAGTTATAAGGAAATAAATTGTCAAAGAATTAAAGCTATTCAAAGGGAAATGAGCTGTTGAGGGAAGCCTCTCTCCCACAGAAAGGTGAGTGAGCCTTTTTTCCACTGGAAGTAAAGACTTGATAGTCATTCAAGTACATTGCACAGAACATTTCTGCACTAAGAGGGAGGAAGAGATTATTCTGGCTAAACTGTAATAATATTTATAAGTATAAGACTATGATTTAAAGTGTTCAATGACTTTGGGACAGCCTCAGATATTTAATCAACTTTGATGTAAATAAAGTATGCAAACTTTGGATTTTTGTACTATAGATTCTATAACAAAGTTTGAATTTCTTAAATTTTTCACATTTTTAATTTAGCTGCTGGCTTTTGCAAAGAATTTGAATGTAGAATTCAGTTTGGAGGCAGAAAGAATGATCCATGGCTATTATCTAGCAAGTCGCAGAATCAGAACAGATTCTATAAGTGGATCAAAACTGTCAGCATCTGCATTAAAATATTTGTAGGTATTCAATATAAAACTTTAAAACCAGTATTGACTTTTAAGTGATGTGTTTAATTAACTTACTTATTTATGTTTCACTTGTTTCTTGAATTGCTAGTTGGTTGATTTCTCATTTATCTTGTTTCAAAAGAATTTAAGGTGACTTAACAATCGCTATTGTTGCATCATTTGAACCTCCAATACATGTTTTCACTAAGTTATTTTTTATTGGAATCTCTGTATGAGATGTGTCTGAGTAAAGTGCACTGATTTGAAATACAAATGATTGATTTTTTTTTTAACGTGTCTTTTTTACACTCTAGGTATTTTTTAGTTGAGCCTAGAAAAAATTCTTTTTAAGTATATTATTCTGTGTACTTTTAAAATACCTTAATAGACACATCTATTATTGTTCCTTTAAGTTTTTTAAAGCTAATTTTTATTATGAAAGTAAAGTATAGACACCTTAAAGAAAAGTCTAAAGTAATAAATAAGGTGTCCAGCTAACTCTACCCATTGCTGTCCTACTCTCTAGAGAGATTGTCACTGTTAACAGTTTTTATGTATTCTTCCAAAAATTATCCATTTATTTCTTTTAATGTTTATTTATTTATTTCGAGAGAGAAAGAGAGGGAGAGAACACACTAGTGGGAGAGAAGCAGAGAGAGACAGAGAATCCCAAGCAGGCTCTGCACTGTCAGCATAGAGCCCAACGCGGGGCTTGATCTCATGAACCCAGGGATCATGACCTGAGCCGAAACCAAGAGTCAGACACTTAACTGACTGAGCCACATAGGCGCCCCCCAAAATTATCCATCTAAATACTAACGTGTACAAATATATAATTTAAATTTATGATGTATATTAAATACATATTTTATTTGAATATGTTATATATTTGTCAATGAATATGTTAAACATATTATAGAGAGAGACAGTTTACTGACTTAGGATGGTTCAACTTAACGATTTTTTGACTTAATAATAATGTGAAAATGATATACATTCAGTAGAAATCATACTTCGAAGTTTGAATTTTGATCTTTTCCTGGGTTAGCAATATGCATGCAGTACAATACTCTCTTACTGGGCAGTGACAGCAGGCTGCAGCCCGCAGTCAGCCACAAGATTAAAAGGGTAAAACTGATAACCATGCTGTATCCATGCAGCCATTCTGTGGTTTACTTTCATTGCAGTATTCAATAAATTATGTGAGATAGCCAACACTTTATTATAAAATTAGCTTTGAAGGCTGATGTAAGTGTTCTCAGCATGTTTAAGGCAGGCTAGGGTAAGCTATGTTTGGTAGGTTAGGTATATTAAATGTATTTTTGACTTATGATATTTCCTAAGTTGAGGAAGATCTAAATATAAATATCTATATATTCATATGGATATATTTTCCTTTTGCACAAATGGAATTATGTATGGTTTACCTATTATAATACTATCGGAACATAAGGAATTACCTTATTCTGTTTTAATAGCTGCTTTACAGTGTGCTTTGATGTGGCTGTACCATATTTTAAGCAGTTCCCTCTTGATATTTCATTTGATACAAACTAATGTATAATCTCAAACAAGTTAGGAACTAGGACCAGGAGTAAAATAATCCATTAAATACATAAATAACATGCTATAACTATAATATACAATAAGGTAAGTGAAGGACTAGAAGGAAATATCAGATATAGGTCCACAAGAGATAAATATGTTTAGTTAACTTTTCCAACTCTATATTTATCTTCATAGAGCTGAAAAAAAAAAGTGCTGAAGAGAAAGTAGAACACAACTGTGATATTTTAAAATAGTAAATGGAATTTGTGATAATTTCCATTTTCTGAAGTAACGTTTAAAATACTCGCATCAGGGGTGCTCAGTCAGTAAAGCATGCAACTCTTGATCTCTGGGTCATGAGTTCAAGTCCACATTGGGTTTTAGTTGAGTGTGGAGCTTACCTTAAAAAAAGTTACTCAAATCAATACTCAAAGAGTCAATACTTGAAGCCTCGGAAATCCTGTTTTCTCATATTTTTTCTCTGTAGCAAAAAGATATTTATTTAAACTTATATAACCTCAGTTAACATTTGACTATATTAATCCAAATATAAAGCAGAGTTCATTTTAATATGACAAATCTACTTCCCATGGTGGAAATTGGAAGGTATAGGGGTATAGGTGAGGTTTATGAAATAGCAAAGTAAATGAACTCATAAGAGTCATAAACCTTAAATTTTTCTCCTACCTCTATAGACAGGTACCTAATAACACTATCCTTGCTCTTCTAGAGAAGTAGAGCTGGACAATACTCTCTTCTCTTCCCTGAAAGGCTTTATACATATTCTGTTGTGGTCGACATTTTAGAAGGAGCTTAGGTGAGGATATCAGGAACATAATAGCCAAATCTGAAAATAACAACTCTGGAGTAATTTCCAAGGACTCAAATGATGATCTTGGTCTGAGTATGAATGGATAAGAAAAGGTTGATGGCTTATTATGAAAAAGACTTGAGGTTTTATTCTTTTTCTGCTTAATATGAGTAAACACTGTAATATGGCTATTAAAAATACTGTGAATTCAGGTTGTGTTAGTAGAACATAGTATCAAGAGGGAAAAAATGCTAGTTCTGCTTCACCTCTACATTGCTGGTTAAATCACACTCACATCGTAATTCTATACTGAAAAAGAATATGTTTAAAAACATTTTTTAAAAATGTTTACTTATTTTTGAGAAAGAGAGACAGAGCAAGAGTGGGGCAGGGGCAGAGAGAAGGAGACACAGAATCCGAAGCAGGTTCCAGGCTCTGAGCTGTCAGCACTGAGTCTGATGTGGGGCTTGAATCCACAGACTGTGAGATCATGACCTGAGCCAAAGTTGGATGCTTAACTGACTGAGCCACCAGGTGCCCCTGAAAAAAAAAAAAATAATAAAAATTAACCAAATCTGGTCATGAGGAGAGTGGTCAGAATGTTGAAAGGCCTGAAAATTGTCTTATGACATTTTTTTTACCTTTTTAAAAATTTTATTTATTTTGAGAGAGACAGCATGACATGGGAAGGGTCAGAGAGAAAGGAAGACAGAGAATCCCAAGCAAGCTGTACACTGTCAGTGCAGAGCCTGACATGGGGCTCGAACCCACAAACCATGAGATCATGACCTGAGCCGAAACTAAAACTCAGACGCTTAAATGACTGAGCCACCCAGGTGCCCCATGTCTTATGACATATTAAAGGAGCTAGTAATATTTTATTTTGGAGAAAAGAAAACATAGGACAACTAGAAAAGTTGTCTTTGAATATTTGAAGAGATGTCATATTTAAGAAGTATTAAGCTTTTTTTATAATCACAGAAGACAGAACCAGTGGGTATAAATTTCAGTGAAACCAATTTCAGCTTAAATTTATATATTCTTTGTGGGTGAGTCCCAAAATTTTCAAATGCTTTATCTGAAATCGTAATAACTGTAAGTTATTATTGTCCCCATTTTATACCTGTGATTCAAAAAATTTTTGGGAAGTGAATGATTTATATGAAGTCACACAGCTAGTAAAGTCTAGAGACTTAGACCAGGTTTTCTGATTTCCAAGTTCAGCAGTCATTCAGGTACATTACATATGCCTAATGAGAGCTTGAAAGAGATTTTTTTTTTCAATTTTAAATGTTTATTTATTTTTGAGAGGGAGAGAAAGCTAGGGAGTGGCAGAGAGACAGAAGGAGAGAGAGAATCCCAAGCAGGCTCCGTGCTGTCAGTGCAGAGCCCTATGTGGGGCTCGAACTCCCAAACCATGAGATCATGACCTGAGCTGAAATCAAGAGTTGGATGTTTACCTAACTGAGCCATGGAGGCGCCCCTGAGGGAGATTTTTTAGGTAATCAAAGCTTAGTTTAAAAATAAAAGATAAAGGAATGTATTCCCAGTGAACCATAGGAAATGTTCGAAAGAAACTGGACAATAAGTAGCCTGGGATATTGTGGAGAAAATTTAATTATCTGATTGGAGATTGAACTTTAAGGTCTCTTTCAAAACTAAAATTTCAAGATTCTGTGAGGACTTCAAATAGATGAAGAACTGGAAGAAAACACCAAAGGTGACTATAAGAGTTAGTTTTCCTAACTGTATATTGAGGAAGGGGGTGTAGAATCATAAAAATGAAGATAAGCCAGAGCAGATATGAAGTCTGATAATAAGTCAAGATACTTGCTTGTTCTGGCATAGTTTATTGAAGTTGGTAGGAAAAAAATGCTTTGAAAATAAACTAACATTTTTTTTAAAGTAAAAATATGCTGATCTTTAAGGCATGGCTTGTATACACATATAACTTGTTTTATTCCCGCCAAAATATATTTTATCTTTATAATATCAACATATTTGATTAGCATCAATTTTCTTTCTCAGAGTTTCCCTAGCTGAAGCGCATGCTCGACTGAACTTAAGGAATAAAGTGCTTAAAGAAGATGTACTAATTGCAGCCTTATTGTTTGAAACATCTCTCACACTGAAATATGGTAATCTATTATTAATTTGTTAATGATCACTATAAATAACTATATTTAAATATTCTTAGACTGTTAAAATATCTATAAAATTTTATAAATTTTATAGCATTTATAAAATAAAATGTTATAGATATTTTTTAATTTTTTAATTTTTATTTTTTTTAATTTAAATCCAAATTAGTTAACATATAGTGTAATAATGATTTTAGGAATAGAATTTGTGACTCATCACTTACATATAACACCCAGTGCTCATCCCAAAAATGTCCTCCTTAATGCCCCTTGTGCATTTAGCCCAGCTCCCTACTCAACACCCTGCCAGAAACCCTCAGTTTGTTCTCTGTATTTAGGAATCTCTTAATGTCTCTTTGTCTCCCTGTTTTTATATTATTTTTGCTTCCCTTCCCTTATGTTCATCTGTTTTGGATCTTAAATTCCACATATGAATGAAATCATATATTTGTCTTTCTCTGACTTATATTTCACTTAGCATAATACACTCTAGTTCCATCCATGTTGTTGCAACTGGCAAGATTTCATTCTTTTTGATTGCCTAGTAATATTCCATTGTATGCATATATATATATATATATACCACATCTTTATCCATTCATCAGTCAATGGACATTTGGGCTCTTTCCATGCTTTGGCTATTGTTGATAACTATAAATAATATTGTTGCTATATACAGTGGGGTGCGTGTGCCCCTTTGAAACAGCACACCTGTATCCTTTGGATAAATACCTAGTAGTGCAATCGCTAGGTTGTAGGGTAGTTCTATTTTTAGTTTTTTGTGGAACTCCATAGTGTTTTCCAGAGTGGCTGTACCAGTTTGCATTCCCACCAACAGTGCAAAGGGTTCCCCTTTCTCCACATCCTCGCCAACATCTGTCATTGCCTGAGTTGTTAATGTTAGCCATTCTGACAGGTGTGAGGTGGTATCTCATTGTAGTTTTGATTTGTATTTCCTTGATAAGGAGTGATGTTGAGCATTTTTTCATGTGTCTGTTAGCCATCTGGATGTCTTCTTTGGAAAAGTGTCTATTCATGTCTTTTGCCCATTTCTTCACTGGATTATTTGTTTTTTGGGTGTAGAGTTTGAGAAGTTCTTTATAGATTTTGGATACTAACCCTTTATCTGATATGTCATTTGCAAATATCTTCTCCCATTCCGTTGGTTGCCTTTTAGTTTTGCTGATTATTTCCTTTGCAGTGCAGAAGCTTTTTATCTTGATGAGGTCCCAGTAGCTCATTTTTGCTTTTGTTTCCCTTGCCTCCGGAGACATGTCAAGTAAAAAGTTGTTGCGGCCGAGGTCAGAGAGGTTTTTGCCTGCTTTCTCCTTGAGGATTTTGATGGCTTCCTGTCTTACATTTATGACTTTCATCCATTTTGAGTTTGTCTTTGTGTGTGGTGTAAGAAAGTGGTCCAGGTTTATTCTTCTGCATGTCACAGTCCAGCTTTCCTAACACCATTTGTGGAAGAGACAGTCTTTATTCCATTGGATATTCTTTCCTGCTTTATCAAACATTAGTTGGCCATATGTTTGTGGGTCCATTTCTGGGTTCTCTATTCTGTTCCATAGATTTATGTGTCTGTTTTTGTGCCATTAGCATATGGTTTTGTTGATTGCAGCTTTGTAATACAGCTTGAAGTCCACAGTTGTGATGCCTCCAGCTTTGGTTTTCTTTTTCAGGATTGCTTAGGCAATTCAGGGTCTTTCTGGTTCCATACACATTTTAGGATTATTTGTTCTAGCTCTGTGAAGAATGCTGGTGTTATTTTGATAGGGATTGCTAAAATATTATGTATATATTAATTATTATTTTAAAAATTAGTAAATTTTTTAAAGTTTATTTATTTATTTATTTTTGAGAGGAGAGAGAATGAGCACAGGCATGAATGAGGAAGGGGCAGAGAGACAGTCCCAAGCAGGCTGTACACTGTCAGCACACAGTCTGATGCGGGACCCAATCCCACAAACCTTGAGATCATAACCTGGGCTGAAATCTAGCACCCACTGAGCCAAGTGAGCTACCCAGGTGCCCTAGAATAATAAATTTTTGTCAGGTAAGACCTGTTTCAATTTGAACACTTACTAATTCTTTATAGGTAATATAACACGTTCCTTGTTATGCATGATTGCTTGGATTCTGAAACTTTTGCATTGCTTATAGAGTTCTGATAAAACATGTATTAAATACAACATGAAGTGATTCTAAATTTATCTTTCTTTTACTTAAACTTTTTTTTAAATGTTTATTTATTTTTGAGAGAGAGAGAGACAGAACGCAAGTGGGGGAGGAGCAGAGAGCGAGAGAGACACAGAATTTGAAGCAGGCTCCAGGCTCAAAGCTGTCAGCACAGAGCCCAATGCAGGGCTCAAACCCATGAACCATGAGATTATGACCTGAGCCAAAGTCGGATGCTTAACCAACTGAGCCACCAGGTACCCCATAAATTTATCTTCCTTCTACAATAACATGCAATAGGAACACCTGGGTGGCTCAGTCAGTTAATCATCCAACTCTTGATTTTGGCTTAGGTCATAATCTCACAGTTGGTGAAATCAAGCCCCGCCATGGGGCTCTACACTGACAGCATGGAGCCTGCTTGGGATTCTCTCTCTCCCTCTCTTTCTTCCCCTTCCCCTCATGTTCTCTCTCTCTCTCTTTCTCAAAATAAATAAATAAACATAAAATAAATAAAATAACAAGCAGCATTCAATTGTCAAGCAGTCCCCTCAATGCAGTTAAGCACAGAGACAAAGAAAATGTGTTCATTTTGTATCACTGCCTTCCTGAATTGCTAGCTATAATACTATGACTATAGCATTTAATTATTTGAAATGAATTTGAGCTTATTATGGTTTTGCTAATAAAAACATAAAAGGGCTCCTAAAGTAAGAGTAAACAGAGTTATTCTCACAAAGCTCTTGCCGAATTGGATCAGACATTAATTTTCATAAGATACTACAATCCTTGAAGCCAAACTCTGGCTCCAACCTTGGGACTTAAAGGATGTATTAACACTGACTTTTTTGTGTGTATATATTCAGTGCTTAAATTTGCCTTAAATTCAATTTATACAGTAATAACGGTTCACAAAAACTCATTAGAACATTAGAACTTTGTTCTATAATTGTCAAAATCAAACATTATTAACCTGGGATTCATGGATACTTAGAGTTCTCGGGACTTGTGAATCTCTAAATTATATGAAAATATTTACATGTATGTGCTTGACACCTTTTTGCTTAGAGAGATGAATGGTAAGTTTTATAAAGTATGTCTTATAGGGGCACCTGGGTGGCTCAGTCGGTTAAGCGTCCAACTTCGGCTCAGGTCATGATCTCACAGTTCGTGAGTTCGAGCCCCGTGTCGGGCTCTGTGCTGACAGCTCAGAGCCTGGAGCCTGCTTCACATTCTGTGTCTCCCTCTCTCCCTGCCCCTTCCCTGCTCATGCTGTGTCTCTCTCTGTCTCAAAAATAAATAAACATTAAAAAAAAAAATAAAGTATGTCTTATAGGTTCATGATTCCCAGAAAAAGTTAGTTACCATCCCATGTTAGTTTTATGTACCAAAGGAGAAAGACATTGATTCCCAACCAATACTAAATAACAGGAAGGATACAAAAATATTTTTATTTTTAATTTGCTTTATCTTTTACAGGCTTCCTTTTTTAGAGATTTTATTGTTTTTATTTTTTATTTTTTTAAATGTTTATTTTTGATGGGTGGGGAGGGGCAGAGAGGGGACAGAAGATCTGAAGCGAGCTCCCCGCTGAAAGGAGAGAGCCTGTTGTGGAGCTTGAATTCATGAACCAAGAGATCATGACCTGAGCCAAAGTTGGACACTGACTGAGCCACGTAGGCACCCCAGATTTTTTTTTTAATTTTATTTTTTATTTTTTAAAATTTACAGTACAACAATGATTTCAGGAGTAGATTCCTTAATGCTCCTTACCAACCCAGCCCCATCCCCCTCCTACCACAGCCCTCAATCACTTTGTTCCCCATATTTATGAGTCTCTTCTGTTTTATTTCCTGTTTTTTTATATTATTTTTTGTTTCCTTCCTTATGTTCATCTGTTTTTTGCTCTTGAAGTCATCTCCCCATATAGTGAAGTCCTTATATGATTTTGAAAATGTCTTCCCTATTCACTTAATACCCTCTATCCATCTACAGTTGGAAATGGCAAGGTTTTATTCTTTTTGATTGCCGAGTAATACTACTACTATATACTAATAATATATGTATATCCAATTGTATATATATATATGTATGTATATATATATATACCATATCTTCTTTTTTTTTTTTTTTTAATTTTTTTTCTAAGCAGTTACATTTTTGTATTTTTGGACACAGAACCAGAGTATGAATGGGGAGGCAGAGAGGGAGACACAGAATCAAACTTCCCAGGCTCCCAGGCCACAGCCCCAGAGCCTGACGCGCGGAGGAGCCTCGAACTCACGGACTGCGAGATCGTGGCGGTAGCCTGGCCAATGAAGTCGGACAACTTAACCGACTGCACACCCAGGCGCCTATACCATATCTTCTTTATCCAATTATGTATTATACATCATTCTGTGTGGCATTTGGACTCTTTCCATCCTTTGGCTATTGTTGATAGTGCTTCTATAAACATGGGGTGCATGTGTCCTTTCAAAACAGCACACCTGTATCCTGTGGATAAATGCCTAGTAGTACAATTGCTGTCTTAAGGATTGGTTCTGTTACCCGGTTTTTTTGGGGTTATCACTGTTTCCCAGAGTGGCTACACCAGCTTGCATATCCACCAGATTTTATTTTTTAAAAGTAATCAGGTTTTATTTTTTAAAGTAATCTCTACACCCAATATGGGGCTCAAACTTACACCCAGAGATCAAGAATCACATACTCTACCGACTGAGGCTGCTAGGCGCCCATATCTTTTACATTCTTATTATTTGTATTTAAAAGCATACTTGATAAAATCTAACACACATTTTTTATGTACCATAACAAAAAAATTCTGCCAATTTTATTATGACATGCTATCAAAATTAAAATATAATTAGATTTCAATAAGAAGACAAAAATTTGTGTCTTTGAATTTAGAAACTATACTATTTATTATTAAGGACCCCTATGGTAGAATATGGCTATTTTCACTTGGTAACTATTTTGTCAAGACTTTCGTGAAGTATTTAAGAAAGCATCTGTTGAGGAATATAAAACTAAATGAAGATTTTTTTTCCTTTAGTTATTTTTTATTTTCATAATGAATTTCAGTTAGGTATCTTGATTTTTAAGTCTTAAACAAAACAATATTAAGAGATCCTTAAATGTTGGAGCACCTGGGTGGCTCAGTCAGTTAAGCATCTGACTTCAGCTCAGGTCATGATCTCGCAGTTTGTGGGTTCCAGCCCCACGTGGGGCACTGTGTTGACAGCTCAGAGCCTGGAGCCTGCTTTAGATTCTGTCTCCCTTTCTCTTTGCCCCTCCCTTGCTCATGCTCTGTCTCTGTCTCTCTCTCAAAAATAAATAAACGCTAAAAAAAAAAAAAAAAAAAAAAAAAAAAAAAAAAAAAAAAAAAAAAGAGCTCCTTAAGTGTTATTTCAGTTACAGCAGGAAATTGGAAACAAGAAAAAAAAGAAGAAAAAAACATAGCAAGAAATTGATCCCTACTCAGGGACATTTTTCTTGGATGCAAAAAACAATAGGTTGTGCTCATGAACTAGATTTAGAAGTTGGGGCAGAGGGCATAGGGAAAAATTAAACTCCCAATTTTCTGCCTTGAGCAACTGAGTGGACCATGATGCCATTTACCACAACTGGGAACAAAGAGAAAAAGGGTTGGGAGAAAAACCAAATTATAAATAGATATGTTTGAGACATCCTACAGAGATACCTTTAGATTGATACAAGAATCTGGAGTTTAGGTAAGCGTTCTAATTTAGAAATTTAATTTGGGAACCATCAGCCCAAAGATGGTACTCATAGCCATGGAATGGATGAAATTACCTGAAATTACCTAGATTGAGATTATACAGAGAACTCCAGGACTGCCCTTGAAGAATTCCAATATTTAGAAATGGGGTTGAGGAGGGGGAACAAACAGAGGAGAATGAGAAGCTGCAGCTACAATGTAGTAAGAAAATCAAGTGTAGTTATAGAAACAAGACAGTTTAAGATTAGATTTTACAGAATTAGGGGAAGATCAAAGCAATAAAATCCTTAAAAAGGTGAGAGGGGATGGGATCCAGAGCACATGTGAAGATATTGGTTTCTAATGAAAGAAGTCACTTCATTATATAGGAGGGAAGACAAATGGATACAGAATCAGGTCTGTATCCATTTGATCATACACTCTACACAAGGTCATCAGCTAAAAGCAAAAGGTTTGAGGAGAGAAGAATGGAATGTCATAGTCATGGGGGCAGGAGGCAGAAGAACATTTGTCTTAGACTCAGCAGGGTTGTCTGGCAGGCAGTGGGCATCCATTTGAGGTTTCTGTGATTCATTTAAAGTGAAACCAAGAGATGCCAATTATATGATTTTCTGCCTAGCAGCCTGAGTGCAGGCATAAAGTAAATTGTTGGGTTCATGCAGAGTTGAGGTTTTTATAGGCGACTGTGATAGAGTGTTGCAGAGGGGTAAGGGAGTGGGGACACTGGCTTGGGATAGATTCTTAAATAGGTTAAAAGAAGGAAGTGAATTGAAGGAAGCCACTTGGAGGTCTTGGGATAGAAGCTGGAAGTATAAGAGGGAAGGGGGATTTGAACTAATGGTTTTGAAGTAAGTTTTTGGTAATGTCAGTTTCCTGTGATTTTCCTATGTGTGGTGGAGGTAGAGGAAAAACTCCAGAGAGGTCTGGAATTAAGAGGGTCATTCACATGGAAATCACTGAATGGCAGGTATTAGGGAATAGAGGAATATTGTGAGCCACGTGCTGAGAACTGGTTGACTTCACCAAGGAAGAGAAAGAGTAGTAAGCCCAAATGGCACTGGGCATCAGCAGAGAGATTTTTATTAAGAGGAAAGCAGGGACAAGAATGGTCTGGTAGCAGCAAAGGGGCAGCAAGTTAGTCACTGTCTCTGTCTTGTGTTACTAAGGTATGAGTGGTGTTTTGAGAAAAAGCAGCTTCACTTTAGAGAGCCACAGGGAAAGCAGTGTTCTCAAGGAACAGTAAGGATTCAGGTAAGATACAGGGAATGGTAAAGGGAGCAGTCACGGCAGTCTGAGACTATGTTAAGTGCATACTGATAACAGACGGCTCTAGGAAGGTAGGCACTGTCTGCTTGGCTAGCAACTGTACTCCTGGCCAGTCACATGTATGTACTCATTCAATGAATCAACAATGAAACAGAATTTAAGAGCTTAACTCCTAAAGTGGTAGTCAAAAAGTTTGTTTAAGTTGTGGTAAAATATACGTAACATTCACCATCTTAACGATTTTTAAGTGTATAGTTCAGTGGTGTTAAATACGTTTACACTGTTGCCACCATCCATCTCTATAAACCTTTCATTTTTTTCTGTACCCATTAAACAATAACTCCCCAATCTCTCCTCCCTTCCTCCAGTCCCTGGCAACCACCATTCTTTCTATTTTTATAAATTTGACTTCTCCATGTATCTCATATAAGTCTAATCATATGTGTTTATCTTATGGCTCACTTCACTTCATATAATGTCCCCAAAGGTTTATTGATGTGGTAGTATGCATTAGAATTTCCTTCTTGTTCAAGATTGAATATTCTATTCCATTGTATGTATGTGTACACACGTACACACACACACACCATTTTGTTTATTCATTCACCCAACAATGGACCTTAGATTGCTTGCACCTTTGGCTATTGTGAATAATGCTATGAACAGGAGTATATGCTTACTTACCTCTTTGAGACCTTGTTTTAAATTATTTTGGGTATGTATCCATAAATGAAATCCCTGGATCATGTAATTTTTTGAATAAACTGCTACTGTTTTCCATAAGGGTTGCACCATTTTACATTCTCACCAACAGTGCACAAGGGTACATTTTCTTCATATCCTTGCCAACATTTGCTTGATAGTAGCCATCCTTATGGGTGTAAGATGGTATTTCACACCATTTACCTAGTGATTAGTGATGTTGACCATCATTCATGTGCCTATCTTCTTTGGAGAAATGTCCGTTTCTCCTTTGCCGATTTTTGAATTGGGTTATTTTCTTGTTCAGTTGTAGATCCTGTATCAGATACAATTTGCAAGTATTTTCTCCCATTCCATGGGTTGCCTTTTCACTCTTCATTGTAGTATTTGACACACCAGTTTATTCTGATGTGGTTTAACTTATCGATTTCCTCTTGTTGCCTGTGCTTTAGTGTTATAACACTAGAAATCTAGTGTTACATAAATTCTAGAAATCACTGCCAAATCCAATGTCATGAAGCATTTCCCCAATTTTTTGTTTTTCTTAGTTCTTATGCTTAGGTCTATAAGGGACCAACTTCATTTTTTTTTCTTATGGGTATTGTTTTTTCAGTACCATTTGTTGGAAACTGTCCTTTCCCCATTGGTCTTGGCACTCTTAAAGCATAAATCATTTAACCATGTATTTGAGGGATTATTTCCAGGCTATTCAATTCCATAGGTTTATGTCTTTTTGTCAGTGGTTCTGAATAATTGAGATTACAATGGTGTCTTTATCCTCAGTCATCCACATAACCTTTATCAAAGTGTTTCCCTACCTTCTAATACCTTCTCTCCCTACTTCTTCCACCTCCTCACAGCACTATTCAGGTTCAAAACTCTAAATGACTAGGTCAACAGCTAACAAAGTTCTAGTTTCTACACTTAAAAAAATGTTATTTTTGAGAGAGAATAGGAGCTGGGGAGGGGCAGAGAAGGTGGAGGGGACAGGATTTTAAGTGGGCTCTGCACCGACAGCAGTGACCCCAACACTGGGCTCGAACTCATTAACTGTGAGATCGTGACCTGAACCAAGGCTGGACACTAAACCAAGCCACCCATGTGCCCCTCTAGTTTCCATGTTTTAAAACGTAGTATTTTTTCTTGGCTCTGGTAAGTCTGTGTATATACTGAAACTATTTCATGAGTCTCAAAAACAGATCAGTTTTAAATGATTATTGAAATATTTTATTAAATAGGTCAGAACTTAAAAACTCTTACTGGGGGGGCCTGGGTGGCTCAGTAGATTGAGCATCCTTTTTTAAAGTTTGTTTATTTGAGAGTGGGGGAGGGGCAGAGAGCGAATCCCAAGCAGGCTCAGTGCTGTCAGCGCAGAGCCTGACATGGGGCTCAATTCCATAAACCATGAGATCATGACCTGAGCCAAGATGAAGAGTCAGATGCTTAACCAACTGAATCCCACAGGTGCCCCAATCATCTGATTCTGCATTTCAGCTCAGGTCATGATCCCAGGGTCGTGGGCTCAAGACCCACAGCAGGCTCTGTGCAGAGTGTAGAGCACGGTTGGGATTCTCTCTCCCTCTGCCCCTTTCCCCAGCTTGCACTCTATAAAACAAAACAAACTCATACTACTTTGCTGAAAATGTGATTTCACATTTAGCATTTTAAGGACTTCTCATTTACACTTTTTTCCTTAGGGGCCACTGTATTTTGTGTTGCTCCAAATGCAGTATTTCCATTTGAATTGTATAATGAAGAATATTTGGAGCAAAGGGATATCTATTTGAATCAATGCCAACAGCAGCTCCAACAGTTTATTGCCACATATGGACCTGGGACAGCTATTTTCACTAGTGATGAATAGGCAATGAGGAAAATCATTTTCTTCACTCATATTTAAGCAGTGGAAAGGTGTGATTCTGAAGTAATGCTTCAGGTAATACTATGTATGGTAGTACATTAGAAGGCTATCTTAAAAATATGAAAGGTCTCATTATTAAAAATCTGGTCGGGGGACGTGGGTGGCCCAGTTGGTTAAGCGTCCGACTTCAGCTCAGGTCATGTTCTCACGGTTCGTGGGTTCGAGCCCCGCATTGGGCTCTGTGCTGACAGTTCAGAGCTTGCTTCAGATTCTGTGTCTCCCTCTCTGCCCCTCCCCTGCTCATTCTCTCAAAGAATAAATAAACATTAAAAAAATAAAAAAAAGAATCTGGAAACTAAGCAATGTTTAAAAACGGTCACTTTTATGTAGTTCTACTTGTCACAAGATGGCAAGAACAGTTTAAATGAGAATATTTACCTAAAAATAAATCATTTTTCTTGCACCTGTGAACCTGACAAATGGAGTAAATAACAGCAACAAAGAAGCAGAAGCCTCCAATTTAAGGACATTTCCTACTTCATTACTTTTTATGCCCATTATATAGTTTTGGAAGCCCTAATTATGAATTCAGGGAAAGCTTGGAAATTTTCCATTTTTTAAAGCCAGGTTAAATGAAAAAAAGTAATTTATAACAAATCAAGGGGTAAGAATTGGCTCCTTGAACCTAACTGGTTACAAGAAAGGCACCAAAAGGCAAACCCAATTTGCAAACCATCTTCATTTTTGGAGGGAAGAGATCTATTCTGAAAAGGTGTGTGTGGGGAAAGAGAAAATGTATTTAACTTGTAAAATCCCCAAATCCTTTTCATTTTTCAAAGGTTTAATATGTTAATTTTTAAAATGTTTTTGAGAGAACAGTGTGAGGGAGGGCCAGAGAAAGGAGACCCAAAATCTGGAGCAGACTCCAAGGCCCAAATGGGGCCTGAATATACCAACCAGGAGATCCTGACCTGAGCCAAAGTTGGACACTTAAAGCAGTTGAGCCACCCAGGTGTCCCAATAAGTTAATTATAAAAAAAATAAGATACTACCATGCCGATTCTTTAGAAACTGGCACTTTATGGAGCTAAACCATAAAGGTTGACAGCTCTCTATAGGCCTTTGACAAATCATTCCTACTCATTCAACAGTATTTACTGAATATTCACTAGTTTCAGAGACTTGTGTTACTTTTTCAGAATGCAAAGCTAGTTTTTTTTGTTTTTGTCTTTTAAGCTTTTATGTATTTTTTGAGAGTGTGGGAGAGAATCCCAAGCAGGCTTCATGCTCAGTGTGGACATGGGGCTGGGCTCCATTTCATGACCTGAGCCGAAATGGAGTCAGCAAAGCCAGTTTTTAAAAACAATTTACATATTACAGTTCTAGAATTCTAGACTTGCCATAATGAAATTATAACCTAGATAAAAGCACTCAACAGGGGAAAAGCAAGATTTAGCTAAGTTCAAGTCTTCAGAGTTAAGAATTCAGCTTTAGAATTCCTATAAATTCTAAGTCCTGGTTGGAATGGACTGTCCAGTCACTATTTCCCTTAATATGACATGTTATTATTTGTACTAAGATCACAATTTTTTTTGTTCAAAGGCAAAAGCAAAGAATAAGATTAAAACTTAAACTATGTAGGTCACAGGTGAAATCTTTATTTGTAAGGGATAATTCGTTAAGGTGTTTAGGAGATTCCAAATACTTATTTATTGATAAAGAACATACTTTCTTAAAGTATGCTAAAAACAAATCTGACTAGTAATTATGGAACTGGAGATGTTTAAACACTCGATATATTTTAAAGATAGCAGACTTTACTGCCCAACAGTTAAAAGTATTCAAGCATGTATTTCTCTACATAACTTATTGTGAGGTGATCAATGTTAAATAAAGTATTTATTCATGTCTTCTTGACCAATTCTTCATTCTTCCTTCCAACTGCATGCCTCTGGGGAAAAAAATCAGAAACCAACAATGAAAATCACTCCATAGTCAAAATCAAAGGAAATCAGACTTCTGACAACACACACACAGGCAACTTAACAGGATATGGCCCTAAGCCTTTGGAGTTTCAGATACTTTTGAATTATTATTAGCTGTGATTGCCAGAATTACTTACCGAGGCAATGAAGAATTTTTAACCACAACAGTTATGGACTTGGACATTCATCTGCAGCTACCTACATGCTGAAAAGAACATATAACCCATTTTAATGAAAAATTGCATTATACTTGAGTAATTCACATAAACAATATACATAACTGGCATCTCAGTCTTCAAATTATTTCTTCAAAGAAACCCTCAGCTGGGTAAACGGCAAAAAGTAATTGAAGTCATCATTGTGCCAGTTACTAAACCTATCTAGGTCAAAAACCTACTAAATGTTTTTGGTACTGCTTTTCATAGGCAGTACCATAAATACATAACAAAGCACAGTGTTTAACATTAAGTTTTGGTACCTCATTACATGCAGTTGTGCTCCTAGTGGTTTTATCACAGCCATCCTCAGATGTTTTTGGAAAACATCACAACGTTCATCTTCAACTCATAGGCTCTGTTGTACCTAGAAATCAAAATATTTCATTGTGAATTCTCATTTGTACTTGCCATCTGTTTGGCATCTTATATGCAGGAATGGTCCAGTAAGACTTTTTCATTCTCATCAGGAGCCATAAACATTTTACTTACAACCTTTCTGACTCCCATCTAACTTTTTATAAAAACTACTAACATTTGAGGCCATATACTGGAATAATTTTGTTATTTAACACATCTCTCATGGAATGAAGTACTTTCTGCTTAGTTCTACTTTTTTTGGTAGTCCAAACGGATAACCCCAAAATTTAGAACCTCTGTAATGGCTTGAACAGATTAGTACTTTTGACTGTTTAGGCCCTAATAATTCTATAAATGATCTTTCCAAGCTGGAAATGGGTTTATTAGCATGGATAGGAAAAATTGTGGCTATATATAGGATGTTCTTTACTGTGGCAGTATCGATGTTAGGACATGATGGTCCTAATGAGTACCTAGCCATTGCTTTTCTGTCTCAGAGCTTGACAAGGATGAGATGAGTCAGGTTAAAGGTTAGATGTATAAAAACAAGTGTGTAGACCTCCAACTAAAGCATCACAATGGCAAATCTAATGTAGTTTTAGAGCAGATACATTATGTTGACATCATTATTGGATAGTCTTGTAGAATTAAGTCCCAGGTCGCCTGAAAGCACACTTAGGTAGTGCAAAGAATGGCCAGGGCCACAGATCATCTCTTACAGCACCCCAGGAGGGTAAATCATTGAACCAGACAGCTACTGGAAATGATTTATGAAGACACATCAAATGTTGTACCCTGCAAAACAATTTATCATTTTCAAGTCTGGAAATAATTTCACATCGTCAATATTAGGAACACAAACTATTAGTTATGAATAATACCAACTTGGAAAGTTTCAGTGTAATGAGATTCATGGGAACTACTGACAACTATATGCATAATCTCATTTGTGTAAATCCTACAAGAATGTTTAGTGATACATATTTGTAACAAAACTGCTGTGCCTGCTTCGGCAGCACATATACTAAAATTGGAACGATACAGAGAAGATTAGCATGGCCCCTGCGCAAGGATGACACGCAAATTCGTGAAGTGTTCCATATTTTTGAGGATGTGGAGAAACGGGAACCCTCTTGCACTGTTGGTGGGAATGCAAATTGGTGCAGCCACTCTGGAAAAGCGTGGAGGTTCCTCAAAAAATTAAAAATAGACCTACCCTATGACCCAGCAATAGCACTGCTAGGAATTTACCCAAGGGATACAGGAGTACTGATGCATAAGGGCACTTGTACCCCAATGTTTATAGCAGCACTCTCAACAATAGCCAAATTATGGAAAGAGCCTAAATGTCCATCAACTGATGAATGGATAAAGAAATTGTGGTTTATATACACAATGGAGTACTACGTGGCAATGAGAAAG